GAGTAGCTCCTTCTGGAGGAGCCAGTCGACGTCTGTTTGTTCACACGGGAATTCGGGAATATGGGAGGCCGTCCGGAAATGTCCTGCTGGGATCTACAGCACAGTCGTATAACAATATGAGTACATGGCGCAGTAGTAAACCTTAATTGTTCCGACTTTCGATACGAAAGTAACGGAATATTTGTGCTCGGGGCGGGTTTTTTTTCTTCAGACAAATTTCGACTTTTTAACTAGCCATTTTTGACGGAATTTTTTTACATCATTCAAAAGATATTGTTGTCATGAGCTCAAATTTGAAAAGATATTTCACCTGTGATCATTTTTCGTAAAGTTATGGGGGTTTAAAGATTGCCATTTTGACCAATTTGGGACAATTACCGCGGGACATATTTCGTGCTATTAACGCGTAAGCAAGATTTAATCCGTCTTAGAAATCGTTCCAAATTGGTTCAAGCAGGCTTATATGCCATCAGGGGCGGATCTAGGATTTTCTCGAGGGGGGGCGGATTTGTAAAAAAAAATCGAAGGCGCCTTTAAAAAAATTTTAGGGTCGTTCGGCCAAAAATGGATTTCTTAAAAAGTACCAAAGGGAGGACCCTTTGGGTTGGCAGGGGTTCGAATCCCTGAGAGGGGGGGGGGTCGTCCGCCCCCCCCCCCCCCTAAATCCGCCCCTGAGTAAATTAACCAATGTAGTTAAAGAAAAAAAAAACGAATCAGAATAATATGAAAGTTTATGTCGAAGAAGTCAAAATTAATAACCTCTCGTTGAATGTGACATTTAACATTGATTTTTTGTTACATATCTTTTTACACAACGTTTGTACTTAATTAGATGTCATATTTTGATACTAACATAGCTAGTATCTTGTTATTAACTAGTTATGTTGTACTAACTAGTTTAGTCTCTTCGGTGCTTGCAGATGGTAATAGAATCGTCAATGGAGTGACAGCTGATTATGACGATCACCCGTGGATGGTGTACATTGAAATATGCTCACACAGGTTGGACCTCTTCAACTATATCCCCCCTTTTGCCAAGGGGGGAGTTCGTTTATAGATATAAAATTCTTGCATGCTTAGCCATTGATTTATTTCTTTATAGAAGGGTGGGGGGATTTTCGTTACTAGATACCCGAGGGGGGATACAATTGAAAAGATTCGACAGGTTTTTCCTTTTTTCATCTCTAACCAAAATCCCCCTTTTTGATGTTTGCATTTCGCGAGGTACGGTGGAGGCTATTTTCAAAAATACTCCATATACCTTCATCAACTATAGCAGCAGCAGTATATTCACTTTTGACTCACCAACCATAACATTTTAACGAACGTTTCTAAACATAACATAGAAACAAAGTTAGCTTCAATTAGCTACGTGGTAAATAAGTTACAATGTTTTCTTTCAGCGGATGCCAAATTTGCGGAGGGTCTATCTTGTCAGCCAAAACAGGTGAAAAATAAAAGGACATTTTCCTTACTAATTTCGCTGAATAAAAGTGCACTCAGTATGGTGGTTTCTTGTTTTGTGCTTTCCTTACGACTTGTTGGGGAAATAGTTCAGCATTTATTAAATTACCCAATTGGAACATCCAATTAAATTATCCTAAAAAGAATTATTTACTCTTTACAGTTTACTTTACGACCACCGATAACTCACACTCTACCACAAAGCACTAATTTTTTGCGACTGAGTTTGAGGTACAATCACAGTTTAGACAGACAAAACCTACCCGGGTCGAGGTGCTCTCGCTGTATGTTTCGACCGTCTCCACCAAATATGTGTATGTTTTGACCGTGCTGGACCCGAGCGAGATTATTTTTGACCATCTCGACCAATATTTGATGTTTCGACCATGCTCACAGTATGCTTCGACCGTGCTTGACTAATTTTTGATATATTTTGACCGTGCTCGCACTGTTTCGCGTTTGTGCTCGATCCAATTCCCTGTCTCAGCTATTCTTTTAGGTCGAGCACTGACAACTTCAATTGAGGTCTTTCTAGGAAGTAGTTATATAAAGTAATTATTTAGTTTTAAATTATAACCAGAAGCGTCGTTTGGGTTCAAACACGGTTCAATACAAATTGGCATCGGTTTTTTGCTTATAGTGCCAATTTCTAGCAACTAAACCAGAGCAACATTTACTTAACTTTTTTCTTAAATTAACTTAACTTAAATTTTTCTTAACCTAATTTTTTCTGGCATTCACCAATCACGCAAATAAGATCACCAGTCTCCAAATCTTGGTTTGAACCGGTATGTTATTTGGGAAGCTTGTTTAAAACTTGAACATACTTCTTCAGCGGCCTTTTTGGCGTGGGTTATCACATAGCAGATTTGCCGGGCACATTTTTCATCAATGAAAAATGATTTGACCTTGAAGCTTCCAGTTTTTTTTGAATTGAAACAAAGAACCCTTATTAGAATTTCATATAAAGGCTGCTCCACTAAAGTAAACTTGGTTGGAAATAACTTTTCACTTTTCTGTGGCTACCAGATACCAAGCCGAGCACATGCTTGAATCTTCCGAACAATATTTATTGTGACCCAATGCGATGCGGCACGGGGCATGGCGAAAACACGTCGCAAGCGACAATTCGTCGCAAGAAATTATTTGTAGCTTTTGTAAAAAGCGACTATTTGCAACACGCGACGACTCGTAGCAAGCCACAATTAGTAGCGGTTAAAGCTTTGATCAGATCAAAAGAAACTAGATGAAAAAATTACAATAAAAAACCAAGAGTCTAAAAATGAAATTTATTGAGAATGTTTTTGTTATTATAATGTTTCAGACGTTCAAATAGTCTGGCTTGACCTTTTTATATTTTTCCACCTTGGCGGCAGTTTTCCGAGAGTTATCTTTGCCAATCTGTTGTTCGACAGAGTTTGCTCTTTTCTCAGGAATCGGACAAACTTGTGAATAGTAGGGTGAGCACACCCCATTGAGGAAAGAAAACTAATGGAAGAATTTGATTGTTAACCACAGCATGAATTGTAAACATTTGATCATTTTAAAATAACACGGGACATGCTTTAAATGTCCCATCTGCTTTCCAGACTGTGTTGCTTTCCAAAGTTTCTAAGTTCTTGCCCGTGGCAAATATTAACTTTCGGTCTTTGTCATCCGACCCTGAATCAAAAAGGAGGAAATTATTTCCCCTTAGGGTTTTGCTTAACTCCAAAGGTAAAGCATTATCGTTAATTAAATGGTATCGAATGGTAGTAGGAATCACAAAGGATAGTAGCAATTTTTAGGGTTCAGGGTTTTACCTTGATACGTGCAGTTTTGAGCAGTTTCTGAGGGGGTGTAAGACTTTGGGTTTAAATCATTGATTTATGTTTCAGTATTAACAGCTAGACACTGTGTGCCTCCTCGAACGAAATACTTCGTTATAACATATGGAAGTGCTGACAAAAAGAAAGGTTTACTAAATTTTGCAATTTTGTCATCAAAAAGTTGGGCTGAACGCAAAGTTTTTTTTGGGTTTTTGGGCAAATACCAATTATTTAGAATGTGCTTTGAAGCGGGATTTGAAAGATAGCATTATTTCAATAGAAAGGCCAAAAAGAGACAAACTAGCGGTAAATTTTGTTCTTTCTAAGATACCTTTGAGTGGTACAACGTTCGGTTTTTTCTAGGATGTTTTTTTGAATGACCTAAGACATAGTTTCCAAAAACATAATGAGCGAAAACAAGGGAAAAGTTTGAACTAAATTGCTTTCTTTTTTTTCAAGCTGAATGCAAAATTTAAAATTGCAAATCATTTAAAATAAATCTTTTTTTAAATTGCAGGTAAATCATTTAATATTCCAAAGTCGGATGCAGAAATAGTGCGACATCCTCTGACAGATTTGGCCATTCTGCGTCTGCCCCCAAAAAGCAGGTTCAGCAACCCACAGCCGATCGCTATTCCAGGTACAAATGAAACTTAAAAAGTTGAAGCCACAATTTAGTCAAATATAATTCTGAGGTCATCAGGTGCACTTGATGACCTCAGAATCACTTATGACTAAATTGTGGCTTCAAGTTTTATGAAAGGGACTATTTTCATACCGAACAACGATGATTTCCAACTAATCAACGCCCTTCAAATTTCAAAAACTGACAAATTGTCGCGCTAATCCTGAATTCTGATTGGCTCACATAAGTTTTGGAGATTCGTTACTTCGGGAATGAGCAGATAAACGTTTAAAAAAATCCAGATTACTTTGTCAAAAGAGGTTGAAAAAATTGTCAGCACTGGACCTGCTAAATTTTCCATGCCATCGAAATATTTAAATTATTAAGCATCTGCCAATTCCAAGAGACGATGTATCAACGGTTTTTAGCATACCTAACAATAGTTCTCTTTCTCTCCTTATTTTCTAAACCTCAATTAGATAAGTGATTGAACATGAAAAAAACATAGAAACAATAAAATATAGCCGTCGTAGAGTGTAATTTTCGGGTACCCCTGATTGTACAGGTTTTTCTTTGCTGTTTTGGTAATTAGGTTATGTAGGCAACGTTGTTTATTGCAACAGGAAGACATTCGCTATTGAGTATAAAAATCGGAAATGCTTCACCGCTTAAATTTTTTTTCTATTGGAGTGGAAAATGTTGACAGAGTAGTCTATAAGGGGGGTTGTTAATTAATTTTTAATTTTTTTTTCGCACAAGATTGGATCGAATATTTTTTTCTCGGTCGAACACCAGTAAAAAAATTCATGCACGGTCGAACTTGAGTCTCATCACAATCTCTTTCATTTTGGTGACTCGAATTATAGATAGTTTCAGTCGGATGCTTCGAATCACACTTTTTTTCGGGTCGAATGGGTCTGACAATTTGACCGGTTCGACCTAGGAATTGGATCTCAGTTCTGATATTGAAGAAGTACTCTTAACTGCAACCAATGAGATACACTACTATGTGATGCAATACTTCTGTTAATTGCATGATTGATGCAATAATAGTTAGTATTGATTGCAGCCAATGAAAGTGAGCATCCGGAGGAAGGGGAGGAGGTGTTTGCAGTAGGGTGGGGACGGATGTGTGACAAACCGGGCCAGTGCAAACAGCAAAACAAACAGCCGCAGATCTTGCAGGTATACCCGGTGCGTAACCACGGAGCCGCATTCCCGGATAGCCGAAAAAACTAAATACCTCCGGTTTTAATTAAGTTAAATCAGAAACCTCTTCACTAAATTGAGACGCATTTTGATTGGACAGGAAATGCTTCAAAATTTTGCAGCCTGTTAGCTTACAAAGTTTTGAACATTTTGAAGAGATTGGATTGGCTAATTTTTTTTACTCTCATTGAATTAATTAACAACAAAAGTCTGACTACAACAGGGATTCGACCCCCCTCACCAACCAAAGGGTCCCTCTTTGGTATGTTTTATTATATCCATTTTCGGCCGACAAACCCAAAAATATTTTAGTATTTGCTAACTTTAAAGGGGAGCGCGCGCTGAAAAACGTTTTGGCCTGTTTTTTTAAAACATTTGTCCAATTTTTTAACGCGTTTTTTTTTGCTGGGGGGAATGGGCTAAATGTGGGTAAGGGGAGGGGGTAATTGGGAGGAGGGGAAGGGAGTGGGAAGGCAGAAAGATGGGACTAAGTGTATGGTTGGGGGGTAGAGATAGGGGGTACCCCAAATAGAAAAAAAAACAATGTTTTTAAGTAAGTTTGTAGGATCTTTTTAACTATTTTTGCCCCCTATGGTACCTAGTAACGAATCTCGAATCCCCCCTTTTAACAAGAAATGGGTAGGGGGGTAATTGTTAAGTAGATACAAAATTTCGGCTATCCGGGAACGAATTTTTTTTCGGCTATGCGGTAACGAATTTGTTTTTCGGCTATCCGGGATTGAATTTATTTTTCGGCTATCCGGCGGGTGTTCGGCTCCGTGCCACGCACCGTATACCCAGTGCAATAAAAAAATAGACAATCTATATTAAAGAAAACCTTTATCAAATACTATAAAAGCAAACAAGTACTATATTAACCAATCAGAATTGGGAACAGAAAGAAAACTCAGGAAATGAAATAATTAATGATGATTTACTTGGAGTGAGGTTTGTATTTAGACAACCGCGCAATCATACTCGTCAGTATTTAGACAAAGTAAATACTCAATTTTGATTGGTCGAAATGAATCAAAATCTAAACGCTAAAACAAACAAGAAATTGAAAACTAACGAATTATTATCTCAATTGGCCGAAAGTTGGCAAAAAATTATTGCAAAATAATGGAATTTTTGCTCGTGAAAACCCCGTTTAAAGGGTTAAAATTATTTTTTGATGGTTATTTGTAAAAGAAAAACCAAAGAAGAGAAAATATTCAATACTATAAATGCGTTATTGATAATTGCCCGTCACGATTAACTCTCGAAATTTCAAATGAAAAATTTTTTAATAAACCTGCGACTCGACACCAATTGCCCCCAGAAGATCGCGTGTCGGAGCAAAAATTTAAGGAAAAAATTACCGGAAAAAATGAAAAAAACCAGGTGTCCCCCTGAAAACAATTTACGAAAATCAAGTGCCGGAAACAGATGAAAAATATTTGCCGCCAGCATTCAGCCAAGTACGAAGAGCAATGTGTCAAACCCTTGAAAAAAAATTTGCACCATACCCAAAAACTTTGAGGAAATAATTCTCAACAACCAATGGACGAAAACCTCTAACAACAAATATTTTCTACTGCACCAAGGCGATGATATGCTAATATTTGCAACAATTCAGGGACTCGAACTTTTGCTAAGGTCAAAAAATAATTTGGGAGATGGAACGTTCAAAACGGCCCCCCGAACGTTCTTACAAATTTATACAATTTTCGCCCTTCGGATCGAGTGAAAATTGGAAAGTACCGATCGTCTGGGCATTTCTCATGCGAAAAAGTGAAGAAACATACAACCATTTTTTGAGTTTTTGACCCAAAAATGCCTTTTTTTGTAATTGGCCGTTGATGCCAAAATTTTTTTAACTGATTTTGAAAATAGGATCATGCCGGCAATCAAAAAAATGTTTTAGCTCACGAGCCATCTCGGATTTTGGTTTCACTATGCCCAGTGTATTTTTCAAAAATTTCAGGAACTCGGATTTTTGAGAGAATATAAAAATGATCCGATCCTGCACTTGATAGCTTGTAGACTATTCAGCGTGCCTTTTTTACCAATTGATGAGCTGATTATATGTTTCCAAAACTTTCAGTCCGAAATATCGAAAAAAATTTCTCGGCACCAAAATCTTGAAAAAAGTTTCAGTACATTACTGAGTTTTGGATGAGTGGTTACGTCCCCCTTGTTATGTGGAATGTTTTTAACAGGGATGTTACCCTGAGAACTACCAACAAATGCGAAAATTGAAATATGAGATAGAACAAAGAAGTTGGGGTCGTTCAGCCAAATTTTTTGAATTTGCTGAAAAAATAAAGTGCCCAAGAAATCGAATCTCGCATGCAATTACGAAGAATTTCTCGTGGCGAACCAGTCCCGAAAAAACAACAAAATATCAGTTATTGGAAGAAAAATACTTCGTCTGAAATTTTTTATCTGGGGAGTCACTTGTCATCGAAAATGTATTGGGAGGGAGTTGCAGTCATTTGTCAAAACTTTTGAAAAACTATGAATTTTCTCAAACTATTAACCTACTGTCGGCTTAAATTTATTCTACTTAAAATATCGTTTTAAGTTTTGTCCAATAATATTTCATTTTTCTTGAGTGATTTTTTTTGCTTTCTCTATTCTGATTGGTTAATTCAACTTTTGTCTAAATACTGACGAGTCTGAATACGCGGTTGTCTAAATACTGCTACGTAACCGATTTACTTCCTACAGTTTGCTTCTTGTTTTCGATGCTGATTAGTTAATATAGTAGTTGTCTACTTAATGACTTGTCTACCTTTTGCTACATTACCGTGCACCGTGCAACAGATGCCCGGTCTTTTGATTGAAACAAACTATAACATGTCTAGTCGAGCCAGCCCCCCCCCAAATAAAACGAACATTTTCTCCTCAGTATTGCCGCAATAAGTTTTACGCGTCTTTTTGCTTGCCCCTTCTGTTCTCTTTGTTCTCTTTTAGAATACTGCTATCGAAGTTGCGTCTGGAAGCAAGTGCAGATATGGACGCTTTCTGTTCTGTGCAGGGGGAGCAGATGCACAGGGGATGCCTCATGATGCTTGTATGGGCGACTCAGGGGGACCACTCGAGTGCAAAGACAAATTAGGTTCCACAAAAAAATCAAGTGTAATTTAATTTGCTTCCGATAAGCGAAAAATTTAGGCGAATTGAACAACTATGAACTAACTGCTGCATTCTTAAGTTTCATATTAGTCGATACCAAATTGAGGTATTTTCTCAACCCTCTCCCATTTCAAAATGTTTAGGTCCGAGTGGATAATGTATTCCCATATAAGAGCTACAAAAAACAAGTTTATAGATAGTTTGTTCACCATGAAAAATTTCACTGCATTACAAAAAATTAGAACTATTTTTTTTTAAAAACAAAAATGAAACTCAAATGTCGGAGATATTAGGCTTGGGGAAAACAGGAGCCCAATTTATTACACTGGTTAAAATGAAGAAAAAACACAGAGCAATTTTGTTTGACTCATAAAACAGTGGCACCTAAAATAAAGGTCCAGCTAACTCTACCACATGCTTGAAAATTTTGTTCGTGATTGTTTAAACGTACCCAATTTTTTCTTAGATGAATATGCAACAGGATAAGTTTTAATGTAGGAAAGATCTTTGCGTGCGGAGTGGTATCAAAGGGTCCGTCGAAGTGTGGATTCGAACCAGGGGGCTATGTCAAATTGGCCAGACAAGCGATCATCTTGTGGCTAATCAATCAAGGTCAAGCCAGCACAGCTGGAAGAATCGGTTAGTTCACGAAGCGAACTAACAGAAAATCAACATTTGTCGAAATTTGTTCTTTTTTTTTACAGTTTTCCAAATTAGTTTGTATTTGATAAAAAGCTGATTTAAACTATCCGGGCAAAACGTGCAAAACTTGGTTTAAAACAACGTTTCTCAAATTGGATGGACCTTAGATGAAAAATGACGAAAACAAAAATGCGTAGAATTTTAGCAGACATAATATAGTGCAATTAGTTCATTAAGACTCAGGTCCAAAATTTTACCCGAACGGCTCAAAATTTTATCCAAAAAGTCACACTTTAGGAGGGATCCTTCAGTGTGACATCACCTTGACTGGGGTAGTCCTCCGCAGTGAGTTCAGCGTTAATCAGATCTACTCCGGTGGATTCTGGAAAAACTGTCTGAGTTTTCGGGCTGTTGGGCTGGTATTGTACTTATTGACAGCGCGATGTGGTATTGTCACCAGCAGCTCGATTGAGGCATTGTCTGCCGACGTCACATGATGCATTGCCCAGTGCTTAAACACCCAAGTATTAACGTTAGAGAGCCTTTTTTAGGCAAAAAACACGACATCTACGCTTTGTACTTGCCCCGTTCTGATTGGTGTTGGACTAGTGTTTAATAGATGCCTCACAGGTCTTGGAATAGAGACTTATTTTCCAAGCGCTTCTGCGTTAGTTGAGACCACGGATGGGGGAATGTGTTCTGCAAGATCTCATGTTTTTTTTTTCAAAAAGCTACTCATGGCAAAACGAGCTTTTCTGACTTTGACTTGAATGGTAACCGTCAAAATCCTTTTTAGCACTGTGGGTTCTATGATGCAATAGAAAGTGCTAATACCCGGTGATGGTTAAAAAATCTGATTTGTAAGGTGGGTAGCTAAGCAACATGTTACTCTCAAAGAATCGTGCTTCTTGGTGTAAATAGTTCTCAGTGATGGCCTATCAATGGCCAAGAGTATACTGAAAGCTTGAAACACGGACCATTATTGATTTCTTTTGTTAATAAAATTTACGCTAAAACTACCAGATCAATTTTTATCAAAACTACAATACAATGAGTCTGTTACAATGCCGAACAAAGAATAAGCAGAATATGATCTCCAAAAAAATGTAAACTAAATCATGTTTGTTTGATAGCCATAAATGCCGTTTTAAAAAGCTTTAAGGTTTTGCACAAATTTGAAGATTATAACCTGCTTAATTCTTGTTGGGCTGGGTAAAGGTCCCACTGTAATATGTCTTTGTCAGTAATTGACCGGGAAGTTTTACCGTAATTTTTGATTGACTTGAAATGTCAAAATGGATCCGTTTTGGGGGTGAATTTTTGATCCCGAGTTAGGAAAAACAAATTGCACAATATTAGTTTTGCTTAGCTTTTAATCAAATGTTTTTCTTGTCTCGTTTTTCACTAAAAGTCGATTCATTTTGAGGAAATATATATCAAGTTCTGTGCGTTTTAGATCAAGTTTTGTTTTTCTTCCGGGTAATTTAAGTCAGCATTGTGTTAAGTATTTTTCTGATATCCGATTCCAACGATTGACTTGAATTGGTCGTGATTTTAGAATTTTGCAGGATATAAAAAATCACCGGCATCAATATCCAATAATGAGTACCGATATTGACTTTTTATTTTTTCTTTCATTTTCAGAAACTAATGTCAGAGGAAACATTGAGGAGAGAAAAGAATCAGGAACCTCACTAAATTCCGCCACAGGAAGGATGTTTATTCTTATTGTGTTATTAATCTTCATTAAAGAAGATTTTAGCATACGTTCTTAATATTTATCAACACAATTTTAAAAACTGAATGATGTTATTAGTGTGATTTAATTACGCGCGCAAAAACTAATGAAATTTAAAAAAACTGACAATTATTCTTTTAATATCCAACAATAGAAAAGGAAAATTTGACCTGGTTGACGGGCAAGAAAGAAATTTTCAACATAACGTGTATGAAATATAGCTGGTCAGATTTTTGATCAAAGAAATTGGCAATTCAAAAATAGCAGAACGCAATTTTTCTTCGTAAAAAAATATGACTAGATGCGGAAAAAAAAACCAAAAAAAAAATCTTTTGATTTAAAATATTTATTTCAGTGTTGGAGTTATCCTTATCATACAATTTTCATGGAATGAAAAATGAATTTCAAAAGCTTTTCCTTGCTTGCCTTCAAAAGTTAACTAAACTTTGTTGAAATTCTATTTTTTTGTATAGTTGTTTTTGATATGCACTAGTAGGCAAAAATTTTATCAAGAAAACTTGAAATGAAGAAATTAAATCGTCAAAATGTAAAGCCAAAAAACAAAGTCTAATTTTTTAAGAAACCCTACAAAAATCCTTCAATAGCAGCAAATTTCCTTTTAAAAGTTATATTTGTAACCTTGAATGCTTCTCTGACTCATAAATTTTGTCTCTATTGATCGATTTCGGCTACAAGCGCTGCAATATCTAAATTTTAAATCAAGCGTGAACAAAATTATTTTCATACAAATCCCTAGATAGCCAAACGATTATTAATGAACGATTGCGAAGCTGAATTCAGCACCACTTGCGATACAACACAAACTTAAAAAAAAACATAATAAGCCACAAAAAAAAACGAAATACGTTGAAAAAAAATAAAGAAACCAAAATATTCGTATACTCAAAAAAAACTAAGGGCCCACTAAAACTTGGAGGTAGCTGTTTGATATTTTGGAAAATGTTTCACGTATGCTGGATGAAATGGGTAATTTCATAAATTGGACTTAGCTCGAAACTTTAGTTGCTTCTCTTAAAATAAGTGAGAAGAGTGAAAATTTTTAAGAAATTGCTATCTTCCCAAATACATAAAATTTTCTCACAGTAAACGAGGAGTCACCGCTTCTGTCAGAAAATTTGTCTCGACCGATTTTATCGATTGAAGTTTTCATCTCAAATTTGATAGGATAATTCTACGAAAATCAAAAAGTTTCTAAAAATGGTGAAAAGTTCGAAAACTTGATTTTCCGAAATCTATCTGTTCTTGTACAACGAGAAGATCGTGGCGGCTTAATTGTAGAACATTACCAAAACCAGGTTTCTCGACTGAACCTTCAAATTTAACCTAAAAATTGGCAGGGTAGTTTTCGAAAAATTGGGCAAATGAGCTTAAAGGATCCACACAGTTTGTTGTTTCGATTGAACGCAAAATGAATTTGAGAGTTTCGTTTGCGAAAAAAGTCAATTAGTTTCAAAAGACGCCCCAAAACCAATTTTTTACTTTTCCAATGGCCATAACGTTGTGTAGAAAAAATTGGTCGTAGCCGCTATGCAGGTGAATTTCCCTTTAAACGTTCTGTTCATTGAACCCAAAATCTCAGTTTGGAAATGTAGTTATTGAGAAAACGAAGAAGAGAAAAAGAAGTTATTGAGAAAAAAAAAGAATCCAAAAATATTCCTTCCACAGCTTTTTTCTAAGGCTGTAGACAATAATGTAAAGTTATTATAGACAAACGGATTTTGCAGGCATACAGGAGTGTAGGTGCTTTTTTCATTGATACAATTTTTTGAATTTCGGTAAAGTAGTTTCTACTGAATTAAAGTTTTTCTTGAAATGTGGAAAAAATTTGGAAGCGTCTCAAAACACTAAAAAACAAAATCCATTCCTATTTATTTTTCATGCTACCTGATTTTGTCGAAAAGGAAACTTTTTCGTCAAAACTACAAAATATAAGTTGACTAGGTCGAGGCAACATCAGTCAAAACCATTTAATCAAAAAAAAAATAGAAAAAAAACAAAATCATTCAAAATCAGACGTGGTAAAATGACAAATTTTAGAACTTTCAATTATAGTTAACATAATACTATCAAATTAAAACCCATGCTTTACAAATTAAGTTGATAAAATTAGTACCATATAATAAAATTGATTAAAAAAAACGAAAAATGAACCGACGGAAACTAGGCAGAAAACCACGAATCCGAAAGAAATAATGATTAGTGCCCCAAAAGTACTCCACCTATTAATTTAACTAGCTAGATGAGGTACTTTTTTAAGTTTTCACGAAAGTGAGCATGCCTTGAAATTTTCCATTTGTAAATTGACCATTCTGTGACCAAGTTAATTACGGAATAAAGTCTAGTTCCTGGTTGCAATATCCTTGCGTATCGCAAGGGTAATAACCTAATGAAAATTTCTAAAAATGCTGGTTGTTCCATAGAACGCAAATTATATTAGAAGCGTTTTTCGACAAACCGGGTGCATGGAACTCGAATTTCGAAAAATTGGTTCATGTATATTGCATCTTGTACTATTTCAGAAAAGAGATGCTCCTTTAGGGTTGAAAACAATTTATCCTTTGAGGTTCCAGTGCTTTGAAAGGTGGGAATGAACATTTTAAATTGGTGTCCTAGAGAGGATAATTCATGCGATTCCAAAATTTCAATAATCATAATTATGTGGTACACACATATGGAATACATTTTTGGTGTTTTTGATGGCTTTTCCGGAAATTTTCTTTTTAGTAGACATTTCCACATTCGAGCTTCATTATCAAGCAGTTACTCAATTCCATACATTGCTGATATTCACTAACGCGTTACTCTGGTAAAAAGCTCTTTTTAACTCTTAGTAGTTTGAATATTTTTTGTCTGCCGCCACTTCGAACAAAAAGACTAATTCGGAAGTCAAAATGTTTAACAAAAACAATAACTAGCTTTTAACATTTTCAGTTAACCGTTCTTGATTTTTAACGGTTTCAAAGCTGAAGCATTCTTTTCCATGAAAAAATTAGGACCAACCGCCGCACCTGTCTTAGCAGTAGAGATATATTCATCATGCGTTAAAAAGAAGTTTTACAATGTCAAAAATCTTTTTTTTGACGGAAAAACCTAATACCCACAAACAGATAAATTTCAAAAAAAATTTTAAGTTCAACCTTATGGCACAGCTAAAATTTAACACAACTGAAAATTGTGGAACACGTTTTTTTTTCTCATTTCAACAGCAATCTTGCAATAGTTTCATTTAGACTGAGAAAAAATTTCGGCAGGAAACACCTGAACGCTATGTCGGCGTTATCAGCAGGAGTAAAAAAAACTACCTTTTGTTTAAGTAACTACTACTGTTACCGTGCCTTTACACTCCGGTTTTTGAACAAAAACTTTGTGATGAATAGAACAAATTTGGCCAGACAATTTTATTTTTTTTAATGAAAAACAGACTTTTAATCAAAGTCTTTGGAGCAAACCTCAAATGACTGAAGATTGGTTTTATGATATGTCGGGAGAAAAAATTGATTCACAAATCGCTTCTGGAAATGCAATCACTTTTATTACGACTGTAAATTTTCGTTCAAAAAAAATGTTTTATCTAACTATTACGATTTTTCAAAAGTGACAAAACACTGTGACAGGTGCTCTATGTGTATTTTTGCCAGGTTAATCTCGAATTTTTAACTATTCTTGTTCCGACTTTCGAAGAAAAAGCGGAACATTTACGATTGGGTTGCTTCTTTTATTCTGTCAAATTGTGACTTTTAGACTGATTTTAGAAGTTATTGACTGATTTTTAGAAGAGTTTTTGACTGATTTTTGTGACAGAAGATCGGTGTTTTTGCCAGATCTATCTCGACTTTTCAACTAGCATTTTTGTTCCGACTTTCGAAGAAAAAAAAACAAATATTTAAACTTGGATGAATTTTATTTAGTCAATTTTCGACTTCTAGACAATGCGTTTTTGACGTTTTTTTTTAAAAAGCAGGTAATTTTTTACTACTGCTTTTAACGCCGACATAGCATTCAGGTGTTTCCTGCTGAGAGATATTGCTGCCCTGAGCTCGAATTTAAAAAGATATTTTAAATGTGATCATTTTTCGTAAAGTTACGGTGGTTTGAATATTTCTCATTTGGTCAATTTGTGATAATAACCTGGAAATTAATGCGTTCTTACACGCTTAAGCGGCGAATGAATGCGTTCCAAATTGATTGGAGTCCAGCAACCTAGTCTTTTTAAATCAATAACAGACGCTAAACACACCCTTTGAATTTTTCATAGCAGGTTGAGGGATTTTTTAAATCGCGGTTACGTATGCTTATTATTAAAATTCATTTCAAAACTAATGAGACGGGAAAGTTTATTACACGATATTAATCTATTGCAAAAATAAAACTAAAACGATAAATTATTGGAATTTTATTAGGTCATAATTGTCAATGGCAATTTTGGTGCATTTATACAAACAATTAAACATTCAGAAAGTTGATACAAAGGACATCAGGGTGGCCACGGTACCGAAAAATTGTTGGCACTGAAATGAACGCCTGGCACTGATATTTTCCAAAAATAGCTTTTTTCTCTCTTTGACACAAATTTTAGTACAGTTAAAAGCAGTTACTCTTTCAAAAATTGTTTCTCACAAGAATGTTTAAAAAATTACTTTCCCGGAACAATTTTTGAAAACAATCCCTGATTTTTACCTGAAAATATCAGTGTAAAACTACTTCAGTTTTTAATTATTTAAGGCTGAAGTGCGGCGATGGCACTGATAATATGGCTCTGATAACATTGACAGACCACGCTTCGCACTGATACTATGGCCACTGGCGATGAACGTAACTAGCAGATGAGCTAAAGTGTTAATTACACACCAGCACCTCAAACTACAGCGTTTAAATATATGCATGTCTGTGGTCACTCAGTTTATTTCAATTTCAACCGCGACATCATGGTCGACTTCAATTGAAAACTACTTCCGAGTCCTTTAATCGTATTTAGAGGTGAATTTGACTCGAATTTACAGGATAAAGAAGTCAGAGAAATCAAACAGGAATAACCTAGAAAATTGATCTAAAGCTTTGTTTTCGGCAAAAACAACAGCTATCCAATATGATTACACAATTTTTGCAATTCATGATAAAAAGGTGAAGTAAACGACCTGATTTCAGAGAATGAAACGAATTGCACCTTTGAACTAAGCTTCGTGGGCGGCGGATAAATCGCCATTAGGAAGCGAGATAGAGTTTTGTTCTGATAGTTCATCTAGGATCCTCTGCGAGCTTCTCTTCTTCGCGGAGGGGGTTCTCTTTAGACTACTGCCCCTGGCCACTACGGCTCTTCTGGCTTCAGTCAGTTTCTCATGGCAGAGGGTGTCCAGAATGGCACAGCCCACGCAATCGCCACATACATTGACAACTGTACGGAATCTGAAAAGATTCTTCATATTTTATTGGACACAGAGTCAAATTTTATCGTTTTTTTTACATCGAGTCGAAACAGAGCTTCGCGCCACTTACCATACAACATAAAAATCGCACGGAGAGCTAACGGACAAAACGAGACGAAGCCCAGAACTGAAAAAAAAAATTGGAAAGTGTCGAAACAATATATCTACGAGAACTTTTCATCAAATGAAGTTAAATTGGCAACGTTTAATTAACACTGAGACAACATTTACCATGCGGTAAACAAGCCGACAATACTTGTTGGGTAGTCGATCCGGATTACTGAAAAAATCGCCCTATTATACCCTAAAGTACACGAAATGAGGGAGTCCAATCAACTAAATCATTTAAGATGTCCAATCAACTAAATCAGAAAGTTTGATTTGGTGAGGAATGAAAAGTTCTCATTTTAGAACACTGTTCAGCGCAGAGCATTGTGTACTTTAATTTCTAGTATGGGCATGCCAGTCGCGTCACATGCTAATGAACCATTCCGTCGATAAATAATGTGCTGGAATTCATGTTACCTGTCCAAGAGCCAGTCGACGGAGTAGATGAGGGCTATTTTGTCCACAGGGATGCCTACAGAGGAGAACACTAGAATGGTGGTGACCATGCCTGCCGCTGGAATACTGGGTGCACCAATGGACGAAGCAATACTCGCCAGACTAAACACGGAACATACTGCCACTAATATCGCACCATTGGATACATACCGATTCACTGAATGTCGATATTCACCACAACATCTTTCTTTAAATATTTTTTCTTTTGATCAGCTAAATTTCTTGTCGCTAATTCTTTCTTCTTGACACCATGACTTATTTTACATTTTCAAGCAAACTCAACAATTTGTTCACCAAAATATATCATATTTACTTGGCTGTATCAAAACCCTGACAGTTCTTAGTTTCGTTAAATGATAAGCTAGCAATAATGATAACTGTTGCAGCGCAAAACGTAACTAATGCGTGAAACATAAATCGTTCAAATTTAAAACTACGACCTACAAAAGAGCAGTTTTTTTTTTGCACTTTTGCAGTTTCTGCAAAAGTCAAGCTGGTTTTTAATTGCTTCAAAAGTCAAGCAGTTTCGGAAAAAGTCAAGCTGGCGTTGCGTCCGATATACGATGATAGAAGTAAAAAGTTTGAGTTATAGTCGTTTATGACTGATTATGTCCGTTTATACAAAAATTGTGGATATATTCCGATTTATGACCAAACACGAGTATTTACCGAGAAATACGAATAAAATATTGATTTTAACTTTGTTTTGTGGAGATTAGCGCACATTTTGGCGCCCCACAAGGGACAGATATTAGTTAATTCCCTTATAATAATCCGAGTTATTATTACAAAAACGGTTATACTGAAA